ATACTCACTATTTACAAGGCAAACTTCACAAGAAAAAGAGAATGCAGATAAAAATTTAAAAATTCTCAAGAAAAAGAAAATTCCTCTCCTTTTCTCAGCTTTTTCTAAACCATGACACCCAGAATTTCTTGAGTGAATGAGTACAGTTAGTAGTTATCTTGTCTCTGCTGGGACTTTTCATGTTGCAGTCCTGCCTGGCAGTGGCAGATGATTCTACTCTGCCAGGTATGCTCAGTGTCATCACATTTCTACTCAGGTGCCAGCAAGAGTTGGAAAGGATAAATACACTAATTGAGTTAGACAGGAAATACAACGTTCAGTCATAGGACTGGAATTATGAGCCATATATTTATAAAGAGTTAATGGATGCTTTAGTGGAAAAAGCGCCGGAAGAAAAAAAAAATCATCATCATTGCAGTTTCTCTCTCCTTGTGCCACGCATAAAAGCAAGCACCCGTGGTCGAAAAAGACAAAATGTGGATTTTTTGCATTCCTGGTAGGCTGTGTTTTCTGTGAGCCAAACAATCCTTATCAAATGCATATTTTGGAACAACAGAGGCATTCCATTGCTTGGGTCCTGAAACAAGAAAATTCAAGTTAAAATGATCTGCTTGCTACAAAAATAAGCTACATTGGCACTAACAGACTCATTAATAAAATACAAGCTTTTTTACGTGGTCCATATTCTGCATAATTTCATTGCTGCATGAGAACACAGCAGTCTTTTCAACATATATACGTTCATTCAAACAAAAGCCTTACAGCGTCTTTTCAAAACTGATTTACTGTTTCAAATTCAGGGCCCCATCCACCCTCACTCAAAGTCAAAGAGAAGGGTCTAATTTCCTTTAACTGAAACAGGATAAATTTCACAGACTGTACAGCTCTTCCTGTGCAGTGACAACACTGAATTGAACAAATAAATACATTTGTTTCTCATACATTTCAGCTGCTGTAGTTAAAATTTTGTATAATTGCCCCTCACCCCAATATTAGGCAACTTCACATCTGCAGAAAAGTAGGTTTTCAGGCAGTGCGTTAAGTACTGTTGTTCGAAGTAAAGTGGTGGACTGTTGGTGTAGCATTAGTTACGAATGCACAAGGAATAATCAAAGCCAAGATCACTGCGAAGACGGAGAAAAACCATGAGTCCACTAGCTGATAAGTAACACTGAATTCCAGCAAGCCAGAAGAAATAGATTTATTTCTTTCCTTCAGATTTTTAAAATGGTGTCATTTCCTTCCTCTCCTTTAAACATTGATCCTTGCTGTAGCAGCACTGGTATTTCTGAGAGATTTTTTTTTTGTTTTTAATTGAGGACTTTCAAAAAGCTGGATGCAACCTTCAGTTTCAGAAACTGTCCCCAAGAGCACAGAAAGAAGGCCTGTTTGGGAAAATGGTAGCCTAGTACAAATTGCCACTTCAATCCTGAAAAGCTGTATCTAACCATGAGTAACAAAGAACCATATCCTTAGCTGCTGTTGCTTCTTACTTAAAGGCACAGAAGATAGAGTCGGTGGAAGAACAATTCCCATGGGAGAATCTTTACTCAGCATCATCCTAAGAAGATCTCCCAATACCCAACACCAGGGCTTTGGGCTAGCATTCAGGTTACCGTTACTGTTAGCCTGCATTATATCTTCTCTTAGTAACTCAGGTGGTAGCAGATCAGCCTTCAGTTCTCTCCGTGACTTCCATAGCTCAGCTTACCCTCTGATGTTTGCATTTTTCAGGATGGGTCTGTTCTTCATCATTACTTGAATACTGTTAAGGTTTTCTCCGTTTCCAGTAAGCCTTGTGACATGGCATTTAACTGAGGTATGACAGAACTCAAATCTGATTCAATGTTTCCTAGCTCACCCCTTAATTTGTTTGCTGTACCATTACAGGCCATATCTGATGTTACAGAACAAAGATCCAAAACTACCTTCAGAGCTGCGCAAACCCTGTTAACAGCCAGTCGTTTAATATGAATCATGTTCATTGTAAGAAACTTTTCATTAAAATTCAAAATTTGCCCCAGCTGAAGGAGCACACCAAGAGCTGTGACTTGCAAGTAGCCACATTGGTTGGGATGCCACGCTGTGCGGTCTTCTAAGCTTGGTTTGCCTGCAGCAATATTCAAGAGAAGTGAACGCAGACTGAACAGCCAATTCGGGATTCATTATCAAGTCAGCAGGTGCACCATCCGAGAGGGCTCTGTTCCTGCCCTGGACCAGTGCTGCTCTCTGCCCGTCTGTCTGTGCAGGTAAAGCCTCACCATGGAGTAGTTCTAAAATTAACATGAAGCATTTTATTAAGGAAGAATTTGCATCGCCTAAAAGAGAGTGAACAAAGTAACCCGCCTAAGGGATCTGGAACTTTACAGTAACAGTATATGCTGCAAATAATTCCAATAAACACGATTTTCTGTGTGTGTAGCATTTCCACAGGTAATACAGATGTATTTGCAGCTGCTTCTGAACAGGAAAGCACCAGTAGAGAGACAGGAGAACAGCTATGCCAGTAATCAGCTTTTCTGGAAAGATAGCTGTCAACACAGGTTCAGGCTCTGCTGAAAACTCTTTTTTCATGACAATTGGTTCTTGGCCTCCATGGGAACTTACAACAAAAGCTAAGAAATAATGTTCCTGTCACAGAATTTAAGATATGGGCTTAACCTCAGAGGAACACTCTGTTAATATCAAACCATTCATGAGATAGGAAACCAGAAGAAAATGCTAAAACTTGTATATACATTTTTACACTTCTATTCCTTCAAGCTGATAGCTTATTATTTATCAGAAAATGTAATTTGTTTCTTCTGAGTCAGTGGTGCAGATTTGCTAGTGACTCATGTTATTTTTGAAGCCTAACAAAGAGGTTCAATTCCTGCAAATTTTGGAACAGCCTTCCTGAACATTTTGCATCTGCCTAATTCTGAATGCTTTTTCTGGATAAGTTTTATAATTTCAGTACATGAGCATGCCCAATGCTAGCTACCTAAAGATTTCAATTGGTATTGCAAGTAATTTCTTAGCCTGTTTGTAGGTAAGTACTGCTGCTTGGGAACACAAAGGAATGTTGATTGAGGATGGAAACTCACAGTGA